TAAAGCCAGTTAGGATACTTAAATAAAAGTTGAAATTGTGGGGTATTTTAAAGGACAAGCCTCTGTAATCACAAAATAGTAACATTACAGAAAAAGAGCAACTTGATGGCCTGCATAGTACAAAACACTAAGGGCTTGTATATACAGCATGGCAAAATGTGCCAGAGGAGTGTTATTTGTAGAGCACACTAACATCTTGCAATCTAACTGGCCCATGTAGATCCAACTGGAGTGTTCTAGCAGGTATATAGTTCGTGTTAACGTAGTCCTGTTTGAAGCAGGATCCACACAGGGCAGTTACAGCACAATATTTTAGAATGTTTTACAAATCACACCACTCTTGTGGGCTTTGACAGCACACGTAGACAAGCCCTAAACAAGAAGTTTAGTGAAGCCTGAGCAAGATTCCTACTGGGAAGAGTTTTATGTTTGAACCAATTAATGTAAAACGCGGAATTTTATTTACTTGTGGTTTTTGTTTTTTTTTTAACGTTGTACATATTATATTCTCTGTAACATTTTCTTAAAATGTTCTTGAATTCTGGCTCTTCCTTATCCCCTTTGCCCCTCTTACCTTTCTCTATCAAGCACATTCTAAATCAGGTTACAAGTTCAGGATACTCCCTGACATACCCTGCCACCATCCACGCCTTTGTAAACATGGGTTTGTTGCCTCAGCTTTTCTCAACTGTCTAGGTATCACACAAAGAGAAAGGCAATCTAATGTAGGTACATTTAAGGTACTTGCCACACACGATGGAGGAAACACTAATATACACTACTACTACTTGGACATCCAGAGATCTAAAGACACTGAAGACATTTTTATGTTGTTTCCCTTATTCTTTTATGTCAGGGGTCCCCAACGCGGTGCCTGTGGACGCAATGGTGCACAGTGGGGCAGTTGTGTGCGCCCGAAGGACACCGTGCCGCCAAAATGCCGCCGCTGAGCACTGCCACCTGAGAACCACCTGCCGAAATGCCACGAGAAGCGTTGCCGTTTCTCGGCAGCAAGGTTTTTTTCCACTACCACTTCTCAATGGCATTCAGCAGCGGGGTGTTTGGCGCCCGCCACAGTCTGTTGGGAATAGGAATGTGCTATTCCCACAGAAACGGTGGGGACCGCTGTTCTATGTTATCTGAATTAAGTCTCAGCCAGTAAATTCTGCAAGCCCCAACTGTGGCCAGACTCTGGATTTATGACAACTGCATAGTTCAAATCCAATGCAATGGAGACAGAGCTGAATGTCATCTGCATACTGACTCTACCAAAGCACACCATGCCTCATATGCACATTGAACACAAGAGTTGATACAACAGACCCTTGTGGAAGCCCACTAGTGTGCCATTTAGGTAGATGGAACAATTGTGTACTACTACTCTCTAGCACCTCTCAAAGAAAATATAAGGAAGACTCTTAGTTTATTCCACACTATCCAAACCCATCTCTGCTATGACAGATGCCAACATATTTTCTGTTTTTTTTTAAATTGTCTTTAAAAAAAAAAAAAGTCACACTGCCTAAGCATAATATATAACATTGAAGATTATTCCAGTACCTAAGTAGAAAAGCAAGAATGTCAGACTTGCAGCATGCAATTAAAGTTCAATCTAATCTATTCAGCGCAGTGTTCTAAAAAAAAAAAAAAAAAATCACATAAGTACTACTCACTATGCATAACTTCTCAGTTGTATTTTTAAAAAATGAATATCTTAATTAAAATTGGTATATGAATTGTGTGTGTGGGCATCCTGATTAAAAAAAAACAAAAAAACTTATGACTTTAGCAGAATGGAAACTTAATGTCAAAGACTGTATGCCAGTTCCTACACTATTTTAATTCTAAGGGTATGTCTTCACTACCGGCCGGAACAGCGGGCAGCAATCGATCCAGCGGGGATCGATTTATTGCATCTAGTCTAGATGCGATAAATTGATGCCCAAGCGCTCTCCTGTCAACTCCTGTACTCCAGCACCACGAGAGAGACACCACGGTAAGTCCATCTAAGTACGTCAACTTCAGCTACGTTATTTACATAGCTGACGTTGCGTAACTTAGATTGATCCCCCCGTAGTGTAGACCAGGGCTAAGTGAAGTTATTGTTCATAATTAGAGCTGGTTGGAAAACAGGTTTATCTTCCTGTGGAAAATGTCAACAAAAAACATTTTTCATGTTTGTTTAAGTGTTCTGTGGAAATTTTTGACTTTTTAATGAAATATCAAAAACCTGAAAGATTCAGTTCAAACTGATATTGCAATGTCTCATAGTTTGGAGCTGCAGTTTGTGTACCTTATGTTCCCATTTTCATCTATGGGCTGGGCTCTCTAGCTGGACTAGATTTCCTGTGATGCACCACTTTCTCCACTCTGGGTGAGGGGAGAGGGTATGTTACAAGAGACAAGAGTCTCTAGCCATGGTGCATCATAGGAGACATAGTCCAGACAGTGAAGCCAGTCTCTAGAGGAGAATGGGAACATAAGCCACCTGAACTATAACTCCCATGAGGCACTACGGTGCTATTTTGAATAAAAACTTTTCTGTTTTTGATCATTCAGTTTCTCAAAATAATATTAACATTTTCAAAATAAAGCAAATAATTTTCACTAAAAATTTAGTCAAAACCCCACATTTCTTTTGAAAAACTGTATCAATAAAATGTTTTCAACAGCCTTGTTCATAACTCACCCAGTAGAGGACAAATATAGCACAGTACACTATAGTATGTATGCTACAATAATATGTATGAAAACTAACCTGTGTTTGATCAACTTGATAGAGCAGCATTTTCCTTTCTAGGAAACTCAATTAAGGCAAAAATAAGTCCCTCACTTTAAAAGTTTTTCTTGTAAGTCTTAAGTTCTCCTGTTATTTAAGAAGAGTGTACATCCTTATAAAGATGCACAAAACAACTAGGTGCATATGCACAAGACAATTTGGTACACATCTTCTATCACCCACCCAACACACAAGATTTTTGTTTTGTTTTATGTTAGAACGCACACATTAATTCCTCTCTGGACCAGTGCAGTGAGAGAGGCAACTTGCCCTCCCATCCTCAGAGGCTCCTGATGGCCAATTCAACATTGAATGCAGGACAAGGCAGTGCTCAGGACTGTTTTAGCTTGTGCTCTTGTTGCTCAGGTTTTAATGGACCATTGCAGCAGAGAGTCGCCAGGGCATAAGCACATCTTGGCCATTTCCCCCTCCACACTGCCTGAGCCCCATCCTACTGGGCCAAAGGGATCACAAAGCTAGTTGGACTTTGTGAACCATGGGTATTATTTAGGGGGCCTGCCCAGTGTAACAGCAACTGTCAATCAGGCCTTAATTTTTTTGTGGGGAGGGGCAGAGGTAGGAGGTTGGGCATGTGAGGGTTGTTTTACTAGTATTCCATTAGTAGTATTTCATTTTACTAGTATTACTTCATGTGGCATCTTTTTTTAAGTAGGGGATGAGGGTGGTCCTTGGTCTCCCATCTAAACCAGGTGACCAGGACTGAGCCTGCTTAATTTCAGAAGACACATCCACAATCAGAAGCCACACTAAACTTTCACAAAGCAATACATTTTTAGCGTCTTCCAACTCCACACTCCCTAATTTAAGGAATTAAAATCAGACGTTCAACATTTTTCAGGGTTTTTTTTTAGTAAACATTTATTGAAATGCTTCGTAAAACTCTGAGTTAACGGTTCTCTGCATTCCATGCAACCAGCCTGGGGAATTCACTTCTGTAGGAGACCACTGCATCAAAAACCGAAGAAAGATTTTTAAACAGAGCTAGTATATTAAGGCAGTGGTTCTCATTCAGGGGTACACAACCTTGGGGGGGGGTACACAGAGGTCTTCCAGGGGGTACATCAACTCATCTAGATATTTGCCTAGGTTTACTACAGGCTATGTAAAAAGCACTAGCAAAGTCAGTGCAAACTAAAGTTTCATACAATGACTTGTTTATTCTGCTCTATATACTACACACTGAAATGTAAGTACAATATTTATATTCTAATAAATGTATTTCATAATGATATGGTAAAAATGAGAAAGTCAGCAATTTTTCAGTAGTGTGCTGTGACACTTTTGTATTTTAATGTCGGATTTTGAAAGCAAGTAGTTTTTAAGTGAGGTGACACTTGGGGTACACAAGCCAAATCAGACTCCTGAAAGCGGTACAGTAGTCTGGAAAGCTTGAGAGCCATTGCAATAGCGTATGAGCAGCAACACTAATAGTCAGGCAAACGGAGATGGCAGGGCCATCAAACCCCCTTCTTCCAAGCATGGGGTACACGTGCCCGGTGCAGGGCTCAGAGCGAGCACCTGGCAGGAGAGAACCTGTCCACAGGGCGGGAGGCAGTGGGCTCCTTGCAGCATCTCATCCCGGGTGCTGCCAGAGGCAGGACATCCCCCTAGACGGGCCCCGGGCCCCACCCAATAGCCCCAAGCCCAGTGCCAGGCACCCACCGCTCAGGGGCGGCGGGGCCTCCCCAAGACTGGGCACCAGGGGACCCCTGCGGGAGCCAGGCAACTGCGGAGCCCCCCAGCGGCCAGGCCCCAGGCGCCCCCGCCCCAGCGCAGGAGCCAAGATGTAGCGTGGCCCCAACGGCCGCTCCACTGCCGAAGGAGGCTCGGGACCTGCCCCGTGGAAGCCGGGGCAGAGCCCGAGGGGACATCACCCAGCCGCTCACACGGGCGCAGCGGGAAGCGCCGACGCCGGGAACGCGCGTCACGCACCCAAGCCCCGCCCCGCGAATGAGGGGGCAGCCCCCACCCGCCAAGCAAGGAGAAGGGGCTGCCCGCCCTACTTCGCCTCCCACCGGCGGAAGGGCACAACACTACGGTACTAGTCGGCGCGAGAAGAAAGATGCTGTTGCTTATATCCCTCCGCTAGGACGGGGTACAGGCCTCCGGCGAGCCTGGGAGGGGATCCCTGCGCGGGGAGGCGTGAGTCCCCGCACACAGAGCCAGCGGCCGGGGTCAGCGGGGCGCTTTTCGTACTCACCGCCCGCCTTGTCCGCCGCCATGGTCGCTCCCCTCCCGCGAGAATCCAGGGCCTGGGCGGCGGGCGAACACCGCCCCTTCGGGGAGACGAGCCCGCTGGCCCCGCCCCTTCCGCCCGAGGCCCCGCCTCCCCGCCTGCCGGAGCCGCTTGCGCCTGAGGCCAGGGTAGCCTGGGCTCGAGCTGCAGGCTCGACGAGCCCCGTCTTCCCGCCCGTCTCCCTGCAAAACCCAAGTGACCCTTAATTCCTCCCCACCCTGACCAAGCCAGCCATTCATCTACACTCTACAGTGTCTGGTGCCGTTGCCCGAGCCGCTCATCCCCCCCCAGGCGGGTGGTGAAATGGAAAGCGAGGCCCCACCCGCCCTGTGCCCATGGAAACGCCATTGGCCAGCGGAATCCAGGACGAGTTTTCCTTCCTGCCTTGATGGTTTGATTCTGCTTGGTTCCACTCGTCTGTTTACAGTCCTGAACTTCAGTGTTCCGTGAAGAATTGTATTTACTTGCAAGAATCCAATCTGAGATCCTTGTTGGTGCTTGGATGAGTTTCTCTAAAAGCATTTCCTAGCCTGCTTTGTATCTTATATGGATTATATGACTATGTATTGATAAGGAGCTCATCACCATAGCACTAAACGTGCAGAAGGTGGCATTGTGTATGAGTCCTAAATTCCTTTCAAAATTGGTGTTTGAATCCCATATTAATCCTGCCAGGATTCTTCCTACTTCTGGCCTCATCCCTGTGAGGCCTGTTTCACATGATTGATTTAAGTGTCCATGGGATTCTCTGTGCTGTAGAAAAGAGCATTTAGAGACACCATCCAGATTCTTTGAACACTTATTTTTATATCTTTGTAGTGATGATTTATTTTTAAGACATGAGCTTAGGCACTGCAGCATCCAAAGTACTATAAGTATCACAAAGATTCACACGTTTAATAATGATCTGGGTATAACAAATAAGCTATTTTCAGTATTCATCTGTGCCAATAACATCTTCAGGACTAAATCCTCAGCTGATATACATTGGCATAGCTCCGTGGAAGTCCATGGAGCCCCTGAGGTCAAACCTTTAGATAATTACCATTTTTAGTGTGGCAGTTTTCCTCCTTTGTTTAATTCTATAAGCTTTATATATGTAATAATGGGTTTTTCTTAACACCGGATTGCTTTTGGGACAAATGCTTTAAGACTGTTTCCATACTTTACTCATCTGCTAACTTAAGTACACTCATCTGTATTATTCTGTACTATTTCTTCAAATTTGGTTCTCCAAAATTTTGATAAATTTCATTCCTGTTTAATATTGACTTTTTTATATATTTGCTGCAGTAAGTGTGAGCATAGCTTAATCAATTCCATTTGTTATATCATCAGTATTACTGACTTTGTTACCAGCTAGTCATATTTGTTGTTAAGAGGGACCAGATTGTCTTAGAACGTGTATCTGTTGCCCCCTCTTCCAGTAAGGTTAAGACTTGAGGGTGAAATCCTATCCCCTGAGGCAAAACTCATTGCCTTGATTGGGGCCTGGGAGTCCCATTCTGTTAGGCCTCTTGATATTCTTTTCCCAATCACACTGTCAGAGATCTTGGAAAAAATATTTCTGTGAAGTTGTGGACTTAGTATTAGACATTTTTGAGGGTGGCAGGAATTCTTGTAATTTTGTTATTAGAGTTTTAAGTGTAAGTTAATATATTTTGTAAAAGTAATGTTTGCTGATATTTCATGTTTTCTTTTCACTTAACCACCCCGCACATGTGTCAAAAGAAGAGGTATGGGGTGGAGTTATCTTGAGATTCTTAGCCTATGTCTACACTTACCATTTAAAGTCCCTTTTTTGCACTAAAACCACAGTAGTGTCTACACTTGTTAATGACTTTTTGTGGTGAAACTCAGAAGTTTCACCACAAAAAGAAAACCACCTTCACAAGAGGCATACAGCTCTTACCGCTGTTCTTTTTGCACTGTTGAGAACTGTGATCTACCAGTGTAAACACCTTTTGGCCTCCGAAGGATATCCCACAGTTCCAAAAGTGACCACTTTGGCCAGCATCTCCGCTGCTCTGACGCCAGGTAAACGGATGTCCGCCCCTCCCCCTGTAAGCCCCGGGAAGTTTGAAACTCCCTTTCCCTTTGCTTGTAGATATGGCAGGTCAAGCAGCCAGACAGCAGGGGTTTTTTAAAAAAAAGCCACAAAAGAAACAAGGAAATAATGGGACATGAAGCAGGGCAGCGTGGGGCACTGAGCAGGGACCCAGAATGCCTCCCCACCATTCCCAATAGACCTATCAAGAGAGCTGCACTGTGGGATAGCTGCCCTACAGTGCTGCTCTCATCAGGGGCGATGGAAGTGCTGCTAGTTTAAACACTCTCTGATGCCTGAGGAATTAAGTGAGTACACAAACCAGCGCTTTTCTTTCACTGGTTCCCTGTCACCGGTGAAACTTACAGCGCAAAAACTCAGCAAGTGTAGACATACCCTTACTCATGAGTACTTCTTAAGTTCTGCACCTTGAAATCAGTGTGTGTGTGTGTGAAGGTTGCAGGCCAAGTCTATATTAACTATGTCAGCAAATATTCCTAGTGTAGACACAGCTCAAACTAGCAGAAAAGTATTTTGCCTGTATAGCTCATACTGGTTCAGTAAGTGAAATAAGCTACTCTAGCAAAAGCACATTTACACTGGTATAACTGTGTCTATACTAGGGCTTTTGCAGTTATAAAAGTGTTCCCAAAAATAACTGTGGTACTCCCCAGGGGTACCTATGCTTGTGTGGCATCTTACCACTACCTGCCCTCAATGTTAAGCAGCCTTGTCTGTAACCCCTGGTGGTCACATCTGTCAGGAATCAGAGCTTGCAGCAAAACCAGTCTCTGGTCAGTCTAATGAGCACCGCTGACTTATAGTAGGTTGTCACGCTACACCACCTGAGTATTGGGAAGAATCAGCAGATTAGCTCTTAAACCCAGCAGCAGTGGTAGCCGGCTGCTCAAAGCATTTGCCAATGATAATAAGGTGATAAGTAACAGCATGGATTTGTCAAGAACAAATTGTGTCAAACCAACCTGATAGCTTTCTTTGACAGGGTAAAAAGCCTTGAGGACGTGGGAAGCAGTAGATGTGGTATATCTTGACTTTAGTAAAGCTTTTGATAGTGCCTCACATGTCCTTCTCATAAACAAACTAGGGAAATGCAGCCTAGATGGAGCTACTATAAGGTGGGTGCATAACTGATTGGAAAACCATTCCCAGAGCATAGTTATCAGTGGTTCACAGTCATTCTGGAAGGGCATAACAAGTAGGATCCCGCAGGATCAGTTTTGGGTCCGGTTCTGTTCAATATCTTCATCAATGATTTAGATAATGGTATAGAGAGCTTTGGAGGATAGGATTAAAATTCAAAATGATCTGGACAAACTGGAGAAATGATCTGAAGTAAATAGGATGAAATTCAATAAGGACAAATGCAAAGTACTCCACTTAGGAAGGAACAATCCATTGCACACATACAAAATGGGAAATGACTGCCTAGGAAGTAGTACTGCGGAAAGGGATCTGGGGGTCATAGTGGACCACAAGTTAAATATGAGTCAACGGTGTAACACTGTTGCAAAAAAAGCAAATATTATTCTGGGATGTATTGGCAGGAACGTTGTAAGCAAGACACCAGAAGTAATTCTTCCACTCTACTCCACGATGATTAGGCCTCAAGTGGAGTATTGTGTCAGCATTGTCTCAGCCTGTATTCCCAGCTTTAGCCAGCAAGCCCAAATTGCTTCTGAATTCCCAGCCCAGACCCCTTCTTTTCTCTCTGTATACAGGCCCAACCTGCTCCTTCCCAACTGAATCTCATCTTCCATTAGGTTTTATGGAGTCCTGGCTCTCCTGCAGGTGCCGTATGTTAATCGACCTAATTTAACCTGCTCTGCTTTGGTAGCATAGGCACCCATCACAGTTTCCTTATTCCACATTACCAAAAAGCTTTTGACCTCTAGGTGGCACTATATTACAAATTAATATATACTAATATTTTCCCTTTAGTATATATTTTAATGCATATAAATGCAGCATTTTAAGATGGAGTTATGCTTTAAAATGTAAGTTAATTAGGCAAAATAAGTCATGTGTAGCCATTAGGAATTAATTTGGCAATCACATTATATATACACATCACAAACCTGTTACAATGGTGGAATTAGTTCTTTTGAGATGATAGGCAGCACATTGACCTACAGAATAAGGAATGGTGCTTCAGCACCTTTGTTTGTTTACACAGTGTAAATAAAATAACAATGGAACAGGAAGTCTGTGGAATAGCAACATCCTGAATAAACTTTTCATGGTGGTAGTTCTTGAAAAGAGGTAACTATCTTATCTTTCATCATCCGATGAAGTGAGCTGTAGCTCACGAAAGCTCATGCTCAAATAAATTGGTTAGTCTCTAAGGTGCCACAAGTACTCCTTTTCTTTTTGCGAATACAGACTAACACGGCTGTTACTCTGAAACCTATCTTTCTCCCCAATCTTTGTACTCACCTTCTATGCACTGTATGACTCTTCCCGTCCCCATACCTACATCTTTATTCTCATTTTGGAATACTATGTTCCTCCCATTTTTCTCTTCTGAAAGATCTAGTGGTATTTGCACGGTAATTGGTCCCATTCTTGGGAGCAGCTGAATTGTGCTTGGTGCAGAACTGGCTTGGGGTGGGGAACAAAAATGGCTTTATAGCTTTATGCCACTTTTGCAGCTCCCCAGTTTTGGTGTTGTCCAGAAGCAGTTTGGCCCCCAGTGACGGTACTTCCAAACATCATGGTATTTGGGGAAGAAAAACTAGAATATTCATATTCAATAAGTTAAATGCTCCTCTGTGCAAAGGGCTACCACAAAGTCTGTGTCCCACTCAAGTCCCATTTAAGTGTTCAAAATAGGATTTAAGTAAGACTTGAGTGGTACTTTGCACATGGGAGCATTTCAGCATACGTATATTATGGTCCAATCCTCAATGAGGCAAAATTTCCATTAAGTTCAACTTCCACGTGAGTAAGAGCTAAAAGATCTGGCCCTTTACTTGCTTTGAAATATTTATGTAACCAAACAAAATGTCGCTGAGTAACTGGT